CCCCAAAACCCCAAAACCCCAAAACCCCAAAACCCCATAATCTAAATAAAATTTTGAATTTTGATTTCGAATATGAAAAATAACTATAAGCTCAATCTTGGAGCTACAGAAGATGGCTTGTACAGGATGCCCACAGTTAGTTCTAATTATGTCCATATGGAGAATATCTCACCAAATAAGTCCTCTGGGAGGGATCATTTAAGAAACAAAGAATACTCTGAATTTGGAAGCTCTGTAGATGGCACTAGCAATCATGCACCATCTCTGAGATCTCATAAAGGAATAGGCTCAATAGTTTCTTGTGATCGGAACAGAGCTAGAGACGATATGAGATATAACGTATATGCTCAAACAAGTAATTATAGCACATGCCAAAATTTAAAAGGAATGAATAAGAACACCGTAAGTTAGCAATTTAAATTTTTAAAAATATAGGTGTTACAACAAAGGAATTTAAACCAAGATCTAAACAATATTCAAATTCGTGATGACCCTAGAAGCCAAAAGAGGCCTTATACTAAACTAAGAGGTGTTGGGAGCATCAAGTCTAAGACTTACTACCAATCTCGGAAGGCATCTACTCGTTCTAACATTGTTGAAGATGATCCCACTGTCAGTTTTATCAACTATCTTTCCAAGTATGGCATAATTGACTACAACTGGAGAACAATTATTTCAGAGAGAAACATGAAAAAGTTGAAGCACAAGGCAGAAAAGATATTCTATCAGTCTAGTAAATAATAAAGAGCTTTCAAAAATTAACTTGCTAAAAGACATCTTGCAGTGCCAGATAAATTACCAGGAGGAAGCCTTCTCAACAATTGTGAAGGACTTTGCAGGGACTGACCCCAGTCTAACAAAAGAGAAGATCACTCAGGATGCGATCTTGATCCTCAACGAGATTCAGGAGGGAGACCTCAACATTAGCCTCGACTCTAGGAAGGAAAGTCATTTTATGCATAATAAAAATGATACTGACTTTCAGAAAATCCTCTTACAGTTGAAGAAGTTGTGCAAACGAGAAAGAATGCTAGTGACTATTTGTAATAAGCGGATAAATGAACTCGAGAAGGATAAGGATAATGCAGAGCAAAATCTCATGGAATTCATGAACAAAAATTCAATAGCTGTCCTGAATGGCTCAGGAATTGAGGATTCTGAGATTATCAAGGAGTTCTGTAGCTCCACTAATGATGCAAAGACACAGAAAATACTTGAAGGATCGGTACAAAGTCTGTGGATAACTATATAGAACTTTGATTCAATGGATAAAGGATTTAAAACACTTAAAAACATCAGCTATAAACTTCTGGCAGATAAAGAAGTAGCGTTGGATAAACTCAGGAACCAGTTTGACCATTCTTCCTCTCTGCCTAAATCCCAGTGCACTGAGGGACTGAAATCAGTGATGACCTTAGAGAAGCAGATAGACTCATTACTAAAGACTGTTTCCAGGATGGAAGGAGTTCTTGAAGAAAAGGATAAGCTCATACGTAAATTTCCTCTTAATTTATTAGAGAATCTAAACGATTCAAACAAGAAAAGCTCTAATATTATTGAGCAATTGACCAAGTCCAAAAACTCAGTGGAGCAAGAACTGAATTGTAAAATCAAGCATATTCGGTCAGAGTCTCACACAGAGATCAAAGAGTCTCAAGGTACATATTTTTCTTCATGAATAGAAATCATCCAAGAACTTAACAAGAAATTAGCATTCTCTGAGGAAGAGCTAGAATCTGCTCAAAGTGAGCTTGAATCAGTCCAGGCTGAACTAGGATCAGTTCAGGCTGAGCTGAAATCAGCAAAAGACAAACTAGCAGAGCTAGAAAAGGAGGTTGCAGACAGAAATGGCATTGAAACAGAATTAAGAAAGTGTAAGCAAGAATTAATAGACCTCAAACTTGAGCATGAAGAGCTCAAGATGTTATATAACTCTGAAGTCTTTGATAACTATGAGAAAGAGATTCGTGAGCTCAAGTCAAAGATTGAAGAATTAGAAAAGGCAAACACAAGGTTAAGAAATGAACATGAAGAAGAGCTCACAGCAGTAAGATCCTTTCCTCAAGTTCTATAGACTGCTAAAGATCTTGAGTCTAAACACTTTGACCAAGTTGATCTTTTCAAGAAGGAAATCTACAAGAAAGATAAGATAATCTTTAAAGCAACTAGAAAGGTTAAGAAAAATAAGGATCTCGAGGAGCTCATCATTAAGGCAAGTAAAGACCTCAGGACTAAAGATGAGCTGATCACTAAGTGGAAGGAAAAATCTCAGAAATATGAGTCCCAGTTTATGGAGCTTAAGAAGGAAACAGACCAAAAGGTCGAAGAGCTAGAAAATGATATGGAGAAAATCCTTCAGGAAAGTAAAGATGAAAGACAAGCTCATAAGGCCAGGACTGAAGAGATGACTCAAAGAATCCTGAATTTAGAGAAAGATCTTGAACACTATTCAGATCTATATAAGACAAGTGAGACAAACTGCAATACACTATGTACTGAGAAGATTTCGCTCCTGAATAGTAAGCACAGCCTGTTATTTTAGATAAAATTTCAACACAAACGCAATCGATTAATAAAGCCCATATGGTGATCAAGAAGCTTAATCAAGAAAACCAGAATTTAGTCTTACAGCTAGAACAGACTAACAATAAGGTTACAGCCAAGGATCAAGAGATTGGTGAGACACAGAAACTTGAGAACAAGCTACAAGAAACTCTAACTGAGCTCAACAAGCTCAAGAAGAGGATTGAGATCTATGAAGGTACTCCTATCTAAATTCCAAAAATCTGATGATTCTCGTTACAATGATTTGTCATAACCACACTCTCTTTAGACACAGTTGAGAAATACAAGAAATCAGAGCAGGAATCAAGGGAAGAAGTAGAGAAAATCAAGGGCCAAATGAACTGCATGCAGGAAAATTTTGATAGCAGTTACCAGGACTTAGAGAAAGCAAAGGAATTCAATGATAACCTTAACGAGGAACTTGAGAAAGCTAATACTCAAATCTCCAAACTTCAGGACCAGATATCCCAGCTAGAGAGCGAAATTGGTGAAAAGGACGAGAAGTTCAAAACTCTTGAGAAAGAGATGGACATTCGGGAAGGTGAAAAGGAGAAGATCATCGACCATATCAAAAAACAGGCTGAGAATGCAGTTGCCTTCTACAAGAACAAGTACGAACGGATGATGAGAGAGTCTAATTATTCCTAACATATTATCTATAGGCCAATACCCTGTTTTCCGGTCAATTTCCTTCTCGATAAATGGGGTTTTGGGGTTTTGGGGTTTTGGGGTTTTGGGGTTTTGGGG